GAAGGAGGAATCCCGGCAGTGACGCGCGGCGTGCGGTGCGCAGAACTCGTGGGGGTTCAGCGCAGGCGCCGCCCACCTGCCGAGGGGCCCGTGCGAGCCCGAGCCCGCCAGAGGCGCACGGCCCGTGATCTGCCAGCCCTCGCCCAGCTTCCGACACTGGCACCAACCTCCATGTCTTCCGTCGGGGCTCAAGAGACGGGGGTCCATGCAAGCGGGGGTCAGCCAGGGCTCCCAATCCTGCAGGATCCTGCAGGATCTTGCAGGTTCTTGCAGAGCCCGACTGACCCGGGTCTTGAGCCGGATCAGAAGATCCACGATTCCGCCCTCCATCGATCATATAGCGTGTGGCCCTCGCATCGTCGACGGCCCTGCAAAATGATAACCTTATGCCCCCGCTAATCACAGGGTGAGGATAATTAAGTTCGGGATTCCGGCGGGATAACATTTTTGTCCCGGCAGGTCGCAGCATAAAGCAGGAGGAGGACGAGGAGCGAACCGAATCTTTCGGATTGTACGGATGGGAGCAGGACGAGAAGGAGCATGAGGAGGAGGAGCGAACGATTTTTTTCGCTTGAGACATCCCCACCTCGCGAACTCGGCGAATGTCGATGATATTGATAGCCATCATCATGATCATGATGCTGATGATGATGAGGAGGAGGAGGATGCTGCTGTTGCTGCTGCTGCTACTGGTGGTGATGATGATGATGGTGGTGGTGATGATGATGGTGATGCTGACGATAACCATGATAATGAGATCTCGATATACGATGCATACTCCCCCCGGCGCTGATGAAGTTCCGTCCCGCCGCTCCCCATCGTTGGCCACAACTGCCTTGGCCAGAGATGGTCAAGATCGGGCGGTGAAGGGGGGGATGATTTATTGTCCGGGGCATAGGGTTCATCAGAGGTGGGGGGGATGGCGACCCAGGATCGGCAGGCACTGGTTGTTGCTTCGTCGGCCCTCGACTTGGGACCTTGTGGTAAATCGAGCCCATCCCTCTACAGGAGGAGTATTCAAGAATAGTCCAAAAATAGTCTGGGGACGATTGTTTGAGTACTTCGGCCATTCGGGAGCATTTGTTGGCTATTGTAGTGGCCTCCAGCCAGTGCCGCCGATCCGGGGTGCTACCGATTCTGCTTGCAACGGATGACCTTTTCTGTTTGAAAGTAGAGCACTCGCTCGAGACACCCTCATAAGATAGAGATGTTGAACTCGCTTGGGCAACCTTCGGATATTCGAAATTGACGATCTCGCGTGAACAGCCAAACTCATGGGATGTCCCCTCCCACCTTCCCGGTCTGAATGGCGTCAGCCATGGCGTCAGCAGCCCCCGCCCCCGTCCGACTCCTCCGTCCCGGGCGTGAATGGCGTCAGCCATGGCGTCGGCCCTCCCCCCCCCTCTCTCCTCTCCCGAGCCTGAATGGCGTCAGTCATGGCGTCATCCCCCCCCCCCGACAGAGTGAAGCTTGAGCGAGCTCCCCCCCCTCCCCCTTCCCGGGCCTGAATGGCGTCAGCCATGGCGTCAGCCCTCCCTCCCCCCCCGATTCCTCCCTCCCGGGCCTGAATGGCGTCAGCCATGGCGTCACCCCTTCCCCCCCCCGCCCTCCTGGGCCTGAATGGCGTCAGCTATGGCGTCAGCCCCCTCCCCCCCCGACAGAGCGAAGCTTGAGCGAGCTCTCCCCTCCCGGGTCTGAATGGCGTCAGCCATGGCGTCAGCTCCCCCCCCTCCCCCCGACTCCCTCCTCCCGGGCCTGAATCTCCCCCCCCCCCTCCCCCCCTCCTGGGTTCGGAATGCGTCCAGCTGTGGCGACAGCCCGCGGGCCCCCCCACCGACAGAGCAACACGAAGCTTTAGCGAGCTCCCCCCCCCTCCACACCCTCCCAGGCTGAATGGCGTCAAGCCATGGCGCCGGCCCCCCCCCCCCGACATTCCTCACTCCCGGCCTGAATGCAGCCATGGCGCCCCCCCCCCCCCTCATCCCCCCACCCCCCCCTATCCACCCCTCCCGGGCCTGAAATGGCGTCAGCCATGGCGTCAGCCCCCCACCCACTCCCGACTTTCCCCCGCCCCTGGCAGATGAATGGCGTCAGCCATGGCTTCCCCCCCCCCCCCCCTCCTCCCACCCGGTCCTGATGGCGTCAGCCCGCCCCCCCCCAACTGTCTGAAGCCTTGAGCGAGCTCCCCGCCCCCCTCCCCCTCCCCAGGCCTGAATGGCGTCAGCCATGGCGTCAGTCCCCCCCTCCGACAGAGCGAAGCTTGAGCGAGCTCAGGCCCACGCTCTCAGAAACTCACACGCCGGATCGGCGGATTTTTATTTTCATTTTCGTCCAAATTCCCCCTGTAGGAGGACAGGCCCGACTTAAACCTTGTGGGATGCGCCGCGCGCTGCTCCTTAACTCGGTGACCATGCGGGTCCCCGACGCGATGTTCGCGCTCGTCTGCTTCGGGCCGCCCGGGGTCGTCGCTTCCCCTCGCCTGGGCCTGGAAGCTCGGAGGTGAGCAGCTTCGTGGACAAGCAGAGGAAGGGAGGAGGGGGAGGGGAAGGGTGAGGGGGAGGGGGAGGAGGAGGAGGAGGAGGAGGAGGAGGAGGAGGAGGAGGAGGAGGAGGGCGGATGGAGGAGGGACGACGAGGAGGAGGAGGAGGAGGAGGAGGGGGAGGAGGAAGGAGGAGGAGGAGGAGGAGGAGGAGGAGGAGGAGTAGGAGGAGGAGGAGGAGGAGGAGGAGGAGGAGGAGGAGGAGGAGGAGAGGAGGGGAGGAGGGGAGGAGGGGGAGGGGGAGGAACAGTGCAAGCGCATGCAAAGCGTGTTCCAGACAGGGCCTCACCTTCTGCGAGCCCTCCCCCTGAGCGGAAAACCCGCGGAAGTGATACGGCGGCGGTCCCGCCGAGTAAAACCGGCGGAAGCAGGCGGCGGAAGCTAAAATTGGGCGTCATTGTTTGAGTGCGTTCTTGGTCCAGGTCCCCTGCCTTTCTATCGGGCTGCGCGCAGGCACCTGATCACTTTATGTTCTGGTCGTCGGTGCAACTCTGGAGGTGTCGGCGCGTCGCCCATGGCGGCCATTTTATCCCAAACAGACACTGCAGATTGAAAAAGGAAGTGGCACGCCTCCCGAGCGCCCTGCGCCCCGACCCTCGAGACGTGGCCCCCAAGGCATACTCAAGTCATACCAGGCGAACTGGAGCATTTCAGAGAACGAAACTTGTGGAGGCGGGAGCGCGACCCGAGGGGATGTGTTCTGCATGCGGATGGCTTTTCGAGGAGATCTCGAGCTTCGGTCGTGGAATCGGCAACATGGCGACCCGCAGCGCGCGCGCTTCGACGCAGCGTGGCGCCGCTTCTTCCATCAGCAAACCATGGGGGCCGCACACATCCTCGAAGTTCCATCCTTAGAGCGCACTGGCGTGCGCTAGCGTCTTGCAACTTGATGACTGCTGATGCGAAAGCCCAAGTTTGAGCGTCGCCCAGCGCCGGCGCCATTGCCGATGCAGCGTCGCCTCGCACGAGCCAGCGAGATGGCATGGGAGGCCCCCCGCGAGCTGCCATCGAGGCTCCCGTGCCTCCCGGCAGGAGCAGTGCAAGATCTCCTACAGGCGCGGGCCGCCGCGGGCGGCGCGCCGAGACGTCCCCGGCGCCCCCTCCGCGGGCCGGGCCGCTCCGCGCGGCGGGCCCTCCCTGAGAGCCGACGTTGCGGGAAAGTTGTGGCATCGCAGAAGATCAGGAGGGGGAAAAACACACAGACACGATTAATCGTCGATACCCAGGAAAATATGGGAAAATATGGGAAGTGGGGGGGAAGACAGAAACCCAGAAAATATGGGAAACTGTGAGGGGTCCTTTTATTTGTGTGTGTGTCTTTATTTGTGTGTCCTTAGGCCCCTTGAGAAGATCACGACCCGACCCCCCTCGGACCCCACCTTTCTGCCTCATTCTTCGAGCCGGATCGATCGATCCGTGAGGGTCCCGTGGCCCGAGATGGAGCGAAGAGGCCCAGCTCGAAAAGACGGGGTCGTCGGGATCTCACGGGGTTCTCGCCAGACCCCCGACGCGATTCTGTTCACAGCGTCGGCCCCCAGAGGCCTGGACCCCTTCCCCAGCATCGGTGTTTCATCCAGAGTCGCTTTTTTGATGGTCCCGAGGCCCGGCAGGAGCCCCCAGAGGCCGAAGATATCGAAAATGTCCCGTCGTGGTTCTCTCACAACGCGAGGGGGGGTTCTGGGCCTCCAGCGCAGCGCTACTGGAGGATGACGATTAATAAATGACCGGGGTCGTGTTCACGCGGCGGCGCCCGGGATGACGATTAGAAAGAACCGGCCGCGGGCTGGATAACCATTTTTAAAACATCGTTCTCCTCCAGTCCGAAAATGATGCGGAGATAGCAGGAAACTATGTTTTAAATCGTTCTCTCTCATTTTGTTTAATGAATCGTCATCCCGCACTACCCGGCGCGCTCCTCCCAGCGGCTTCCCCGGCCGGGGGCCTCCCGGCCTCGCGGACCGCGGCCGACGGCGGCGGGCGCAGGAGCCGCCCCGCGCGGCGAAGGGGTGGCGCGCAGCCGTCGTCCTCGTCGTCGTCGCCCTCTCGCGGCCCCCGAGGGCGAAAAAGACGGCTCAGAGGAGCACGAAGTATTGATACTGACCGTTTTCAAGATTTTCAGGTTCTCCCGCTCGTCCGCGCGGGCTCCACGGACGGAGGGTCGTCGTCCTCGCGGCCCCCGAGGACGAAAAAGACGGTTCATTACCAGCCTCGAACTGATCCCTATCCCTCAGATTGACACGCCAAAAGGCGATGACAATCTTTAGGGATTCGCCCTCAAAAGATGAGGGAATCCCCGAGATTGGCATCGTGATGAGGAGATGCCCAGCATAGGGATGGGGATATGCTCCAGGCTGGTAAGTTCAGAGGAGCACGAAGTATTGATACCGATCGTTTTCAAGAGTTTCAGGTTCTCCCGCTCGTCCGCGCGGGCTCCAGGGACGGACGGTCGAGCGCAGTCCGTCGCGCGGGCTCTCTGCGTGATGTGCGCGGTGCGCTTTTCGCGCATCCTCCTCCTCCTCCTCCTCCTCCTCCTCCTCCTCCTCCTCCTCCTCGTCCTCCTCCTCCTCCTCCTCCTCCTCCTCCTCCTCCTCCTCCTCCTCTTGCCCCTCCTCCTCCTCCTCCTCCTCCTCCTCCTCCTCCTCCTCCTCATCTTGCCCTCGGAGAGTCCAAGCTGCATTATGTTTGGCTCTTGGGGAGTCCGTGAGTCGCAGCTGCCGCGGCCCGATTTTCAAGGCAACCCCTTCGAGTGCTGCTCGCAGACGCAGAGCGCGGCGCGCGCGGCGCCCAATCGCACGCGGCGCGGTGCGTGGATCAGCGGGCCGCGCCCGTCGGACCGCCGGGAAATTATGTCCTAGAATGTTTCGGAAGACCCTTCCGGTTTTTTTGTCTCGAGCGGTTTCGGAAATTTTCAAAAATATGTTCAGAAATTTTCAACAACAAAATGGGGTGGAATGCGCCCGCCGCGCAGGACATCTGAAGGATTCTGAAATCCGGAATTTGTCCAAATTGATTCCGGATTTTTTGAAAATCGATCCCGGAATCTTTTAAAATCGATGTCTGGGATTCCCGGATTTTTCAGATCTACCCCTGGAGAATTTTCCAGAGTCGCGCGTGATGTGCGTTGCCAGGTCTTTGGAAATCCGCCGAGGCGCGCAGTGCGCGGCGGCGGGCGACAGGACGGCGGCGAGCGCTCGGCAACGAAAAGGGGGACCAGCAAGTGCCAAAGAGCCCCCTCCGGGCGACTACTCGATTGCGAATGGGTGACCGACCAGCAGCGCCAGGCAGAGTAGACAATACTCAACGCAAAGTATACCCCGCGCAGAGGTTGTTAGAAAGCCCGGAATCCCTGGAACGTATCAATAGCACGCTGTGTCCATACATTCTCCTCGACCTAGTAGGCATCCGCAGAAGTTGTCGACGCTCCGCGTGGATTTCTTGGATCCGCGCTGGGACGCCGCCCCTTTCCTCCATCCTCCCCTCCCCCTCGGAAGTTCCCGAGGTCGAAGAAGAACGAACAACATGAGCAGAAGCTTTCGACGCTCCGCGCTGGTTTCTTGGATCTGCGCTGGGGCCCCGCCCCGTTCCTCCATCCCCACCTCCCCCTCAGAAGTCTCCGATGTCGAAGAGGAATGAACAACATAGACAGAAGCCTCCGACGCTTTCCGCGCGGATGTCTTGGATCTGCGTTGGGGCCCCGCCATCTTTCTCCATCCTCACCTCCCCCCTTTTTTCAGAAGTCTCCTATGCCGAAGAAGAAAGAACAGCATAAACCGAAGCTGTCGACGCTCCGCGCGGGTTTCTTGGTGCGTTGGGACCCCGCCCCGTTTCCTCCATCCCCACCTCCCCCTTTTTTCAGAAGTCTCCTATGCCGAAGAAGAACCAACAGTATAAGCCGAAGCTTTCGACGCTCCGCGCGGGTTTCCTGGTGCGTTGGGACCCCGCCCCGCTCTTCCATCCCCACTCCTCCTCCTCCTCCTCCTTGTCCTCCCCCTCCTCCTCCTCCTCCTCCTCCTCCTCCTCCTCCTCCTCCTCCTCCTCCTCCTCCTCCCCCTCCTCCCCCTTCGGAAGTCTCCTACGTCGTTCAAGCGTGCACAACGTAAACAGAAAGCGGCCGACGCTCCGCGCGGACGTCTTGGATCTGCGCTGGGGGCCCGCCCCCTTTTCCGCCATCCCCCTCCCCCATCAGAAGTCTCCTCCTTCTCCTCCTCCTCCCTCCTCCTCCTCCTCCTCCTTCCTCCTCCTCCTCCTCCTTCTCCTCCTCCTCCTCCCCCTCCCCCTCCTCCTCCTCCCCCTGGAGAGAGCAGGAGGAGGGCCAGGAGGGCAGGACGCCTCCCCCATCCCACATCCCACGTCGAAGGAGAACGAACCAGTAAACATAAGCTGTCGGAGGTCTGCGCGGATCTCTTGGATCTGCGTTGGGACCCCGTCTTTTTGTTCTTCCATCCCCACCTCCCCCCTAGAAGTCTCCGATGCCGAAGAGGAAACAGCATAAGCATAAGCTGTCGACGCTCGCGCGTACTTCGTGGATATGCGCTGGGACCCCGCACCTTCTCTCCATCCCCACCTCCCCCTCAGAAGTCTCATACGCCGAAGAAGAATGAACGACCTAAACAGAAGCTTTCGGAACTCCGCGCGGATTTCTTGGATCTGCTTTGAAGCCCCGTCCACTTCCTCCACCCCCACCTCCCCCTCAGAAGTCTCCTATGTCGACGGAAAACAGACTAAATAAACATGAATTGTCGGAGCTCCGCGCGGATTTTTTGGATCTGCGCTGGGACCCCGCCCCCTTCCTCCATCCCCTCTTCCCCCTTCAGAAGCTTCCGATGTCGAAGAAGCAAATGCCACATAAAGATAAACTGTTTGCACTTCGCGCGGATGTCTTGGATCTGCGGTGGGACCCCGCCTTTTTCCTCCATCCCCGCCTCCCCCTCCGAAGTCTCCTTTGCCGAAGAAGAAAACCAACATATTCAAACATTCGGAGCTCCACGCGGATTTCTTGGATCTGCGCTGGGACCCCGCCCCTTTCTCCTTCCCCACCTCCCCCTCAGAAGTCTCCGATGCCGAAGACGACACGACGACATAAACATAAATTGTCAGAACTCTGCGCGGATTTCTTGGTACTGCGCTGGGACCCCGCCCCCTTCCTCCATCCCCACCTCCCCCTTCAGAAGTTTCCGATGTCGAAGACGAAAAGGCGAAAAAAACGTGAACAGTTGGAGCTCCGCGCGGATTTCTTGGATCGGCACTGGGACCCCGCCCCTTTCCTCCATCCCCACCTCCCCCTCAGAAATATCTCCTATGTCGAAGAAGATAAGACGCCATAAACATAAATTGTTTGAGCCCCGCGCGGATTTCTTGGATCTGCGCTGGGACCCCACTCCATTCCTCCATCCCCATCTCCCCCTCATAAGTCTCCTACGTCGAAGAATAATAGACGAGAAAAAAAACATAAACTGTCCAAGCTCCGCGCGGATCTCTTGGATCTACGTTGGGACCCCGCCCTTTTCCTCCATCCCCATTTCCCTCAAAAGACTCCGATGTCGAAGAAGAAAAATCTGCTTCAACATGAATTGTCGAAGCTCCGCGCGGATTTCTTGAATCTGCGCTGGGACCCCGTCCTGTTCCTCCATCCCCACCTCCCCCTCAGAAGTCTCCGAGGTCGAAGAAGAAAAATCTGCATAAACATAAACTGTCGGAACTCTGCACTGATTTCTTGGATCTGCGCTGGGACCCCGCCCCGATTCCTCCATCCCCACCTCCCCCTTTCCGAAGTCTCCGATGTCGAAGACGAAAAGACGAAAAAAGCATAAATTGTCGGAGCTCCACGCGGATTTCTTGGATCTGCGCTGGGCCCCCCGGCGGCGCCTCCGGCGCCGCCCCCGGCGCTCTGCGCCAGCCAGGGAGGGGTGCCCAGCGCAGATCCAAGAGAAATCCGCGTGGAGCGCCGCAAGGTTATGTCTGTGCCGTTGCTCGCTCCTCTACCCTCGGGGCCCTGAAGAAGGAACCCTTTTGGTTGGGGAGGGGCTCCGCGTTCCTTAAGTGTTTCACAGCTTGCCTCAGGTTTTCCTTTTGTTTTCGAGAGGAAATCGAGGTTTAACTTATGGAAAAAAAAGGGGCCTCGTTCCTTATTTAGGGTTCCTTAGGTCAACGCCCCGACTGTATGTCTTCCTCTGCCTCTCCCCGCCCCCCTCCCTCCATCCCCGCCTCCCCCGTGGAGGTCTCCTGTGCCTCCATGCCCCGCCAGGGGCCACGCTTGGCCCCAGGCTGGGCACGGGCGCCTCCTGGCCTCGCGGAGGCTGCCTTGCTGGGGCCAGAGCAGATAGGGTCGCAGGATCGCGCCGCATCGGCGATGCACGACGATGCGGATCGATGTGGAGCCCGATGTTCTCCACGCCGACGTCTGGAAGGTTTTTGGGCGGACGCAGCGTCCAGAGGACTCCCAGGAAGCATCCCAGATTTCGCTGGGGCCGCCCTGGCACGGCCCAGGACGGCCCGGGACGGCCTGGGAAACAATCGGTCCGGGCCTTTCAAGAGGTACAGTTCTGGCTGCATGAGCCTTGGGGCACTCTGTGCCAGAGGCACGGTGGCGGACAAGACGATGCGAGCCGAAGTGCACCCCCATACCGCGAGCCCGCAGGCGCTTCCTGGCCACGACGTCGAACGGCATCTCGCAGGAGTGGCCCCACTCCTACATCAACGAGTTGTCCTTCTACTCGGACGCCGCCGCCCTGGACTGGAGCTTGCCCGGAACGTTTAATGGCAACACCGCGGCATACATGAATCGCGCAGACGTCCAGAAGGCATTGCACGTGCAGAGTGCCCCTGCGAGAGCGTGGCCGGGTCCAGCCCCAGGCTGGTCCTACACGAGCTCCTACAGGGCCTGCAACGCGCAGCATGTGGCTCCGGGCACTCCCAGCATGATCGATTTCTACCGCCACATTGCACCACTGATGCGCACGACCATCGTCTTCAACGGCGACACCGACCCGTGCGTGTCCTACGAGGGCACCCGCAGGGCCATCGAGAAGGTGGGCTTTCCTGTTGCAGAAGGCGGGGAATATCGCCCGTGGTTTTACCACAAGGCTCGCTGCGAACACGTGCGGCTTTTGCTGATCATGTTGCTAGACGGGCGCAAACATCTGACAGGATTGCAACACTGCAGAAGCATGCTGTAAGAATGTATGTGGATATGTCTGCCGGTGTGTACCTATTGCACTCTTGATGTGGGCAAGAGGCCATTCGGGGTCTCTTGGGAGGCATCTTGAGAGCCCTTTGGAAGCCTCTTGCGGGCCTCTTTGGAGCCTATTGGGTAATCCTGGGCGCCCTTCATACCGAAAAGCCGAGCATGTCAAAAAGCCAGACATAAGCATACAGTGCTACATTGAGTGGGCCAAGACCCCAGGGCCTCCAAGGTGGCCCAGCCAAGAGGGGTCCAAGACGGGCCCAGAGACCATATCAGGCCATGTTGAAAGTACGGAGTCCCTACCAGGCTCCCGAGGCATGTGAAAAAGTCGCGCGAGCCGCCCCAGTAGCGCCGAAGAGAGCCCGTGAGTCTGGGCCGTGGGCCCCGTCCAGCGCGGCGACTTGCAATTCTCAACACAGGGAACTCGGAGGATTCGGGGACAGTCCACCCACTGCCTACGGGACGATGGTGGATGTGCGGTGTCGTCTACTGGGTGCGATATACAATATAATATACGATAGTATAACATATAATATAATATGATTTAATATAATATAACATTGTATAATATCATATAATGTAATATAATATAGTATAATATAGTACTATACAATAGAATATAATAGAATAGAATCGAATCGAATAAAATAGAATAGAATAGAATATAGTAGAATAGGATAGAATAGAATAGAATTGAATATAATATACTATAATATATTATGATACAATATAATCTGCTATAATATAATATAGTATATTACAATATTATGTAATGTAATATAGTATACTACAATATAATACAATATCATATAATATAGTATAATATACTATAATATGGTATAATATAATTTAATATAATATAACACAATCCAATACAATATTATATAATATAATATAATGTAATACAATATAGTCGAATATAATATGATATAATGTAATATAATACAATATAATATAATATATCATAATAAAATATCGTATAATAAAATAAATTATGATATAATATAATATAATATGATATTGTATAAGTGTATATATATACATATGTGTGTGTTGCACAAGATGTGTATGATGCATTATTCTGCGGTGCAACATGGTTAGTGAAACCTATCGTGGAACGCAACCCATGCGACACCATTCTTGACTGCACCCAACGAATATACAGTGCGCTCCGTATGCAACCCGTTTATATGACAGAATAGAGTGTATACCAGTCTAGTACAGCGTAACATGGTATGATACATGATACCCTCTATGTACAGATACAGAGTGAGAGAGGGAGAGATGCGTATACGCACGTGCGCGCGCATTTGTGCGATGCAAGCTGTGTGGTGCAACCTGTGTGGTGCAAGCTATTTGGTGCACTCCGCGGGGAGAGATCTGCGGTGTGCAGTCCATGGGGCGCACCATGTGTGGTGCAATCGACACGCCGGCCAGCGCACGAAGCGGCCCCGCGGCGGCCACGGCGGCCTCCCGGGCGAGAGTCCGGAGATGCCAGCCAGCACGCGAGGCAGCCACGGGCGCGCACTCGGAGAAAGTCCGGAGATGCTAGCCAGCGCACGAGGCAGCCACGGGCGCGCACTGGGCGAGAGGGCGGAGGCGCCAGCCAGCGCACGAGGCGGCAGCGGCGGCCCACCTGCCAAGAGCCCGGAGACGTGCCAGCCAGCGCAGGCGCCGGCCACGGGCGCCCACCCGGGCGCGAAGGTCCAGAAGCGCAGGCCGCCCACTTGGAGGCCAAAGAGCCCTTAGTTCAAGCAGTGTGTGGGGGATGCCTGAGCGCTCTTTCCTGCCCCTTTCACCCGCGCGGCCGCCCTCGTCCTCGTCCCTCTCCTTGAACGCCTGCCACTCAGCCATCCGGTTGCCCCGAATTGCCACGCGCTGGAGCGGACTGCCTCTGCCTCGCCGCCGAGGGAAAAGGTGTGGGGGGAGCATGCGATAGCTCGAACGGACACCGAATGGACAGACGAAGCTTCGCAGAAACTGCTACAAGGTCAGAAGGGTTTCTGCCAGCTTTGTGCTGCACAAGAAATCAGTGGCGGTGTCGTCTGAATCGTCTGGATCGCTGCAGCTGAGCGGGCAGATGGTAGCTCGTTTCACGTCCGAAGGTAGACTACCGGCTCGGAAGTATCTCTCCTAACGTCTCAGCAAGGCCCAAACAACACCAGAAAGGTAAATGAAGAGTTCCGCGCCCAACCTGGACCGCATCAGTGGGCGCGGGTCCAAAACGGGCTTCCGCCTGCGGGAGGGCCCTGGGGTGATCCACCCCTTCAAGTGGAGTTTTAGTCGGGAGAGTGGATGGAGCTTGGTTTGGGCGATTGTGTTTGGGACGTCATCAAAATCCGCCTGGTTTGGACCCTGGTTCGGCCTGGTTTGGCCGCGCGCCCCGCCCGAGACGTCCTCAAAATCTGCCTGGTCCCTGGTTTGGCTTGGTTTGGGCCCGGTTTCGTTTGAGACATCCTCAAAATCTGCCCGGCTTGGCCTGGTTTGGGCCCAGTTTCGCTTGGGACGGCCTCACAAGTTGCCTGGAATCGAAAAATCCGCGATGATACGCACGGTTGAGAAGCATCCGTTACGGGCGCCATGTGGTCTTAGCACAGTGGGATGTGATTCCTTCGACATGGAATGGATAATTGAAAGACGTCATGATGGGTGTGTACCAGCCGACTTCATAGCACGGCGTCATGAATACCCATTGTGGTCCACACGTATCACGACTGCGCTACAAAGGCGAGCGCTATGGGTGGGGACGTTCCCAATACGCTGTGAATCGACATGTGCGTGTGTGGCGGCGTCAGGAGAAAACCTTTCCGAGGCTGTAGACAGGTGTCCCGCATCCTTTGACACAAGCCAACGATACGACCATCACAACTTATCCCGTCCACGTATGTAATCCTCGTGTGTGTTTCTGGTTTTGTTTCATCTGCATGTCTGAACAGAGTTTGTTGATTGGCACCTTCGGTGGACGGAAGCAGGAGCGCAGCGCAAGCGGGTAACGGTAGGCCGACGGTGCCACGGTTGGGCGCCTCGGAGCGGCCTGGCAAGGCAGCGGCAGACTTGCAGACGGTGAAGGAGAAGGACAGCTTGGTCTTCCCAGACTTGGACCTGCGAGACGCTGGAGCGCAGTACGGCGGGCATGTTGTGAGCTACGGGCACAATCTGCCCATGGCTCAGTTTGGCGCACAATGCACAGTCGTTCCCGGCAGGGCCTCAGCGAGGAAGGCACGCAACGCTATGTTAAGAGAGAGTGTGCCGGTCAAGCGGAGCGGTTGTCACGGATTGCGGTGAGGTGGTTATGAGAAAGATGTAGCGTAGTTGTTGGGTCGCGTTTAGAACATGGAATGTCGTGGAAGAAAGATGGCGCACTTACGCATCAGGTCTACACGGGATAGATCTGAGGCGTCTAGTTGCGTTGCTATTGAACCCCTCGCCATGTTGGTACGAGGTAGGAGCGAGACAGCTACAAGTAAGCTGTGATGCAAGAATGAAATAAACATGAAGGAGCGTTCTGGTTTCCACGAGTTAACCACATAGTGGCCTTGGCGCAGCCTCGAACTAACCATATGACGGTTGCAGTTATCATGCAACCGTGTCTGGCGTTGTTGCGGCTATGGGGTAGTTACTCAGCGGCCGCGGGATAGCTGAAAGAAGGGAAATGTGAATGCAAATGCGTAGGCATTATGTGGTTACCAGACCGCATAGTCAGCAGCACTGGCTGTGGGCCACCGACCTGGCACCGACCAAGCACTTATAGCATCAGGGTGCAGACACAGGGAAGTCATGAGGCCGCTAAAGGTCGGTGGATGCGAGGTCTATTGGTTAAGCGTTCGCAGGATGCGGCACACGTAATTAATGTCATTCTCGTTGTCTAAGTAGGGCGTTGTTGGTATGAAGCCCTTTTTATGGGTACCTGGATCGAACTTACACACGATGTAACGAATGAAGTATTTGTCTAACATTTTATGTTACGTCCGACATAAGACCGAATGACTGACAAGAAGTGGTCGGAGTCATGCTTGTGCTTGAGGTCAGCTTCGTCGCAACAGGCAGATTCGAGAGAACGACGGGGCGAGAGAGCGACGATGATCGAGAGGAGGAAATGACAAAAACTGGCAGCGCGTCGATGTCGTCGCCGAGAGCGAGCAAAAGTTGGCGAGCGGCATGCGAGAGCGCACGAAAAGCGAGGAAGCGAGGGAGACAGGTGGATAGAGAGAGAGATAGATTGGGAGGCGGCACCGGAATTGTCTACTCAGCTTTTCACGAAGCACTCAAAACGAGTTGGGGGTACATGTGTTGGGCGGAGGTTGGGGGGGGCGATGTGCGCACTTGCATGGTAGACAAGGTCGAGCACTTGATGTCCACAGAATTGACTGTACACGAGTTGAGCTAACAACAGAGCATGAGGATTACATACTGTGCGCAGCTGTCATCTATATAAATACAGTGTGTGCGACCCTTGAGACGGAAAGCAGACACGTTGCACAACCAAGATCCAAGTTTCGAAGAGTTGGATTCGGGAGGATGGGAGGAGGCGAGAGGCCCAAAGTGAAGTTGCCCCTCTTGGCATCGGAGTTCGAGGCGGGCAACGGTCTTTTCCACGAGAGGCTTCCATGACTGACTATTCCTCCTGGGCGCGTGCGCTTCCACCCCCATACGGCCAAGACGCTGAAGTAAGGACCACCTTGGGCTCTGGAGGGGCTATGGTTTCCGGGCCGTTCCTTCGACTTGGGTCGTGGAACCTGTTCGTGGCCGAGACTCGCCGTGGCAAAAAACGCCCCGTCGTACCACGATGATTGGATTTCAAGCCCACGTCGCGCGAATCAGCCCTGAAAGTGTCTTTTGGCACCTGGGAGCACGACACCGGAAGCGAGAGCGAGGCTTGCCTTCGCGCCGGGATCGAAGCAACAAGAGAGGTGTATATCTTCCTCCCTACTCCTCGCTCCTCCCCCTCCCTTCCTTCACTTCTCCTCATCTTCATCCTATTCCTCCCCTTTCTCCTCATCATCATCATCATATTTCTCCTCCTCCTCTTCCTTCTCCTCCTCCTCCTCCTCCTCCTCCTCCTGCTCCTCCTCCCTCTTCTCCTCCTCCTCATCCTCCTCCTTCTCCTCCTCCTCCGCCTCCTGCTCCTCCGCCTCCCTCTTATTCAGCCCCCCTCCTCCCTCCTCCATGTTCCCTCCTCTTGCCATTATTAAAGAAATGTTTGCACTTAGGGGTTCTGATTGATGGAATAAGGAATTGGGCCTGTGGGTCTGTCTGACGGCGATATTCTCGCCGTCGCCGCCTCGTCGCCGCCCGTCGTTTGGGTTTGTGAGGCGTTCTGGCGGCTACGTTCTCTCCGTCGCCGTCGCCGCCGCGTCCCCGCGTGGTCGCCGCCCGCCGCCTCGTCGCTGCATTGTTGTGCATTGCTGCCCACTGCTTTGCGTTACGTTGCGTTGCTTTGCGCTATTTTGCTTTGCATTGCATTGCATTGCTTTGATGTGCAATGCAATCGCACTGCAATCGCATGCAATCGCATTGTTCTGCGTTGCATTACTTCGCGTTGCTTTGCAGTTCGATGCATTGTTTTGTCTTCATGTGCATTGCTTGTCAATTTGTGGCCTTTCTTGGCATTGGTTGTCATTGTTGTGCATCATTGTTTTGTATAGGTTTGCACCGCTATCGCATCGCTTTGTATTGCTCTGCATTGCGTCATCTTGCTTTACACTGCCTTACATTGCCTGTCATTGTGTTGCATTGCTTGCACCGTTTTGCAGTGATTCGCATTGCACAGCATTCGGTTGCAGTGATTCTTCTTTTCTTAAAGGTATTATGACTTCCCCCAGACTTGACGGCTCGCCTTTTCGTATTGTTTTGTCGCAGCTGGTTCTGTACACTCGTCCATCCGAACTATGAGTTCACACCATCCCAGGCAGTCACTTATCGACCCCCCCCTTCATCATCTGTAGCAGCATGTTGCGCGCACATTTGTTAATCAACAATCATCAGTTTCGGGAATTTCTTGCACAATTGTGACGAAGTGCATGCGCGCGCGCCATCGCGCGCGCATGCCGAAATCCTTCGAAAACCTTAGGTGTCGTAGGGATTTCAGAGTCGAGCGTCCCGAAAACAGACTGAAACAATGGCCTCGCAACAGGAATTTTCAAAAAAGAATGCGCGCTCTCGCGAATTCTGGACAGAACCGTCGGTTGTTCAACATCTTCATCAAATGCTACAAAGCGGGCCTCTCGCGCGCGCATGTCGAAATCGTTCGAGTGCCCTGGCGCGCGTGCTGCCGCAAGAACCCCTTGCAGGCCGGAGAAGAAATGCGCGCGCGTCGTCACGCGCGCATGCCGAAATATTTCAAACGTTTTAGATTTCGTAAAGATGTTCAACACCGAGTGTCCCGGGAAAAAATGGTTTTGCAACAGTAGTTGTCGAAAAAGGTTCGCGAGCGTTGTTGTGAATTCTGAAGGAAACCATGGGTTTTCCATCATTGCCATCACATTCGGCCAAACGGGCCTCTCGCGCCACATGTCAAAATCATTCGAGCGCCTTTGCGCGCGTGCTGGGGGGCCACGATCCCTGTCAAATAATACCATGCGGGCCACTCGCGCGCGCCGGCCGCGCGAACATGTCGAACTCCTTCCGAAATTGTCATCACCGACGCGAGGACACCGTCATCGTCATCGGCGTGATCAGCATCGGTGCCGACATTTGCCTTGCCGTCGTCATCGTCATCATCGCCATCAGCACCGCTACTATCATCATCGTGTCTACCGTTGTCGACGTCGGCACGATACCACGCCCGCCCATGTCACCGATTCGCATTCAAGTGCCCGCTGGGAAGTGCCCTGCGGTCAGCGCCACCGCGGCCGCGTCGGTCGCGCCAAACTAGCTGACCGCTGTGCGCGCGAGCATGTGCGGGCTAGCGCGGCCGCAGAGATGCACCAGCCAACACCAAGCATTCATCGCAATCGTTGCCGCATGGGTTTCGCAAACCGAGGTGCGGGCGGGTGGAAGGGATGATTGCGCGAGCAGTCGGGTAGACAATTCACTGGTGAGCACTGGTTTCGTTGCACCACATAGATAGCATCGAATAGCTGAAAAAAACCTTGTCTGGAGCCCACGCTAGCTAACATCAGTACGTTTCTTAATATCATTCCTCTCCCCCTGCATAATCCCTTATCCTTCCTTCACCTCCATCCTACCTCGTTTACTCCCATAAGGGGAGGAAAAGGAAGGAAGGAAGACGGCGCAAGCAGGAGGAGGCAGGAGTGAGAACAAAGAGAAGGAGAAGGAGGAGGAGGAAGGAGTAAGGAAGGAAGCAGGAGTGAGGGGGAGGAGGAAGGAATCAGGAGTGAGGGGGAGGAGAAAGGAGGAGGAGGAGGACAAGGAGGGGAGCGGTTTCAGCGGCCGCGGAGGAAGAGATGGAAAAGGGAGGAGGAGGAGAAGAAGGAGGAGGAGACGAGGAGGAGGAAGATGAAGAGGAGGAGGAGGGGGAGAAAGGGGAAGGGGATGAGAAGGAAGGAAGACACGATGGAGGAAGAGAACGAGGAGGAGTAAAACGAAGAGAAGATGGAGGGAGAGGGCGAGGAGCAAACGAGGGAGAGAAAGAGAGAGTACGGAGGAGGAGTGGGGGGGAGAATGACGAGGAGGAGGCGGATGAGCGAAGGGAGGCAGGGAGAGAAGGAAGCAGGGAGGAGGAAAAGGAGCAGGAGGAGAAGGAGAAGGGAGGCAGAGGGGGAGCCAGGATGAGGGAGGTGGTAGCGCTTGTAAGAACACTGGGTGTAAGAGAATGTGTTGCCCTCCTGCTTGTTCCCCCCTTCTCGTCTCCTCCCTCCATCCCTCCCCTTCCTCCTCCTTCGTTTGCCGGTGGTGTTCCGTGGCACGAGGCATGACCGTCTGCCCTGGGTGGCTGAGCGGCATTGCCCCTTGTCGGGGGCGGCATGGAGCGCATGCGCCGGGACTCGTTGGCCCATGGCGTGGTCTGGGGGGGTCCGCGGTTGTTGCCCAGGTGCTGGCCCCCCCAGCGTGTGGCCACGAGCGGTCGCGCTAGGCAAGGTGTCGGAAGCTGTTCTGGAACCTGCTGCTCTTGGTTTGCGCCGGTTCCTTCGAGCCCACACCGACCTTTACTCTGGACGCCCGAAATGGGTACGGAAAGAATGGGTACGATGTCCAA